GAGAGAGAGAGAGAGAGAGAGAGAGAGAGAAGAATATCAAATAAAGGAAGAAGGAATTTATAATAAGGCAGTATTGTGAAACTAAGAAAACAGTGAGATATAGTAGTACGTATTACGTATATATGAGACAAAATATTGAGTAAAATAAATATTTGATCTACGCAAACTGATCATCATTACTAAATCTCATAGAGTGGTTTCGCCACTAATATATTAGAGTGAGTCACTCCAAAAGAGAGGGTTAATTGTCACTATAATTTGAGTAAATGCGGACACTCATAAGGTACGAGTGAATTTTTCACTCAAATGTTTAGAGCGGCTACTCTATCAGAGTGATACGATCTCACTCTATATAGTATAATAAGCTATAGCAAATCATGATTAATTAAAGATCGACTAATAACCCAGACAGCACACATGTCCAAAAGCGGGACATAAGACGTCTAAAGACATCTTTTAAACATCTTTTAGACGTCTTACGAAAAGATGGCTAAAAGACTTATTATGTCTCAATTTTAGACATGGTGTTGTCTGGGAAATGACTCTAACAGAGTGAAATCTTCCACTGAAAATTATAGAGTGACATAATTTACTCTTATAGTGACATAATTTACTCATATATGGATACTGATCTACTGCACTCACAAAGAGTGCCTCTTCACTCAAATGGAGTGCGATTTCACTCCAACTTAATAGAGCACAATTTTACTCTTTCTTAGAGTGGCAAATTACTCGAAGTGCACAGGCTCAATTTTCACTTTTCATTATACTTGCATTTCACTCGTTCCGAGTAATATTTCACTCTTCGATTTTTAGAGAAATAAAAATAATATTAAATAAAATAAATAAAATAATAATAAAGAAATGAACAACTTTTTCTTCACTTATCATACCCATATCAGTTATACCCATATCAGTTTATTGTTTAAATAATAACTACATAATGTAATATAATGTGCGTGTGTGAACGCGCGCACGTATTTACATGACTCCTGTATAGCACACACAATTCATATTTCTACAACGTTTTTGCAATACAGCTAGAATGTTGCAATATTGCTGAAATATTCTATGCTGTGTGGATACTATATAAGACCGAATTTATAAATTTTATTCGATATTGTAAAATAATATCAAATATTTGTTACTTATTTTTATTTATTTTATTCGATGTTATTTTATAACATCAGTATAAGTAAATATGATGTATAATTCCTGCAATATAGCTGGAATATTTCAATAAAGTTGCAATATTGTTGGGATGTTCTGTATTATATAAGAAGTATGTGGCGTGATACGAATGTAGAAGATCACAAATCAAGATTATCAAGAAGTAGATAAAAAATATTGAAGAGAGAGTATATAATTTATACATATATACGCATGAAGCATACCTATATCTTATATTATTGCAGATTTAGAATAAAAAGAATTTCTTGTTTGGATAATAATAATTAATTTGCGCTCCTATTTTTATTACACATGTCGCATGTTATGCGCAATATAAATAAATTAAAGTAATATTTTCTAAAAACATTTTTGAGAACTGCGTGTATTTTGTGCGTGAAAGGCATAGAGTATGCATTACTCCATAAACGCATTATTCATTTCGCAGCCTCTGTTTTGTATCAAATTCATCCGTTCTCTTATCTTTTATCAGTGTATGAGATATAGGAAAAAAAATAGACTACTAATCAACTTGATATTTTTATTACGCGATCGAGTTTAGTCTTCAAAAATAATCGTTTTGCAATTGATATGAACTGGGACATCTATTTACATTGTACAAGAACTGGGAAGACTTCAAACAGCGTTGATGGGAACCGCGGCTAATCGTTGTGATTAAAACTCCAATCAAGATAATCGCGTCTATCGTCGCAAATAAATACTTTTATTCATTTATAGAACGGCTCAATGAATCACTTCTGATTATTTCCAATGTTCTGCTTCGTTAATCGGAAAATGTGTAAATGATGAGATCGATGAGCTTGAGTGATTCGAAAGTATTGCCAAATAAACGACGAAAAGACATCAAATTAACTGTTACCGTGACAAAAAAAGAAATCTATAAATTGTATATGTATAAACTACGTATTTGTAAACGAAAAAGATTGGAGAAATGCTTCCTACAAAACGTACGTGATACATTAGAAGCTTCGTTGACAGTTTTAGTGGATTAAAAAGCAGATCTTATGTGAAAGAAATCCGCCCGGACGCTGCGTATTAGGTTGGATTTTTGAATTTATACATATTCTTTGCAATTGGCGCAATTTAATTTAAAGATTTTACATTTTTTTTTTTAATACACGTCACTTGAGTTAAATCTCTAAGCACACGCAGCACATATTATCCAAGTCCTCGTCGGAATCCGACCACTGCTGCTTTCTTGACTTTGATTTTCGCCCTTTGATTTTTGAAGCTTCCATAATATTGTACGGCCACGTCATCCAAATGTGCACTTCATCATTATTCTTCAGTCAGTCGTTCAACGTAGTTCTCGGGACTCCAAATTGTTTTGTGGCTACTTTTGTCTTAATTTTATCTTTTTGATTACTTTTATTTTTTTTTACCGTATATAAGAACTGCCTTTCTGAGTTGCTCCTTGTCGACGAAAGTCGTTGTGTGATGGTACGTGCGTACCATTTTCTTGCAATTGAGAAATACAATAATGCATTTGCAACGAAAAATAGAGCGAAACCACCGGGATAAAATCGTCACAGTGATGAGTCCGCCTCGGTGGTTTGGTGACGACTTCCTCCGGGCCTGGACACAGATTTTAAATTTGATCGCTCATAAAATATTATAAGCCTTTTGACAGACAAAATTGTTGTAAATGTGTGCGAACGTATGACTAAAATTGAAATTAGAACGCAAAAATCATCACTTTTTGCGTAATCGAAAAATCTCGAGATAGATTGCACCGATTTTATTTAGCAACCGACAACTTTGCTCGAATATTTTACTCGAAGACTTGTTTCGCAAAAATTTTAGATTAACTTTTGGTAACGTCTTGATGTTTATGCAATGACGTAGTCAGTTAGTCGTTCTTTCTGCGTATTTGGCGCAAAGTTTAGCGGATACTATTTATATTTATGAATGCGTACATGCGACATTACACAAAATAGATTTAACCATGTGATAACCTTCGGTGGTCATACGGGGTCACAGTAACCCCAACCAATTTTCAAATAGCTGCATGCTGTTTAAAAACTAACGGTTTAAATGGATAGCAAACAATTCTGGAATTAAATTTAAACATTGTAGAATGTATTTTCATTATAAAAAATTACAATAACTTTTTGAGTGGCATCATGTTCAAAAAAATCCTTTAAAAAATGTTCAAAAAAGAGGTATGATCACCGAGTGTTAAATCAGTTCACATTTTTACATCACGCATGAATTATATGGATTTAAATAAAATTTAATTTTTTATATTATTCCTTTTATTACTATATACATATAAATATATAATATAAAAAATAATTTTGCCTCTTGTAAAAAAATCTGAACAAGGATATTCCAGCGTGTTCGGCCAGTACAAGACTGCATGCACAGTATACGGTGCACAATAATAATAATATATTCGTATTAAAATAAATGAATAAGTAATTGAGAACTCTTGGTAATGAAAATAACAAGTAACAAGTGAAAAGGTTGGTTTGAGAGTACAACGCCGTTAACAGTGCGTAAGTTAACATTATCTCAACCTTTAATAACTAATAAGCAGAGTTGGGAACTAATGCGTTACTTGTGGGGATGGTCAGGTAAATGACGTGTGTAAAGATAAGTAAGAGTATGAAGGAGGATATGTATAGGTGTATACAAGTATTGAATTGTCAATTTATAAGGGGACGCCGAGACCACAACGTTGATGACATCTTTTAAATCCAAATTACCGATTTCGACATATGTACTTAAAAACTCTCTCTTAATATTCAATGTAGAAAAAAATAAAGACATTTTTTGTCATCTCGCCGTCCCCATAATGCTTAATAAAGCAGTAATTATTGAGTAAAGTCAATTCAATCAGCACTGTCTTTTAGCCGGACATACATACATCAGTGAGCCGCGCACCTGTAGTGCGCTCACGCAGGCGCGACTTGGCAGAAGTTTCTCTGTGCCAAAGGAGAAATGCAAGAATAAAAAAAAAATCGCTTTAGGGACGTTCTAAACTTCAATCAGCTTAACAAACAGTAATTTCTTGGTATACTGTTTCTGAATTTATTCTATTATTATACATATTCAGTATTGTGTCTATCTCAGTAATTTCCATGATTGTATGGTAATGAATGCATTAATTAATGTTGAAATGTTAGAAATTTCAATCGGCTGCTACATTGCTACATTAATATGTATGTACAGGAAATGTAAAACATATAAATAGAGAGGATCGGAGATACGTGACTTAGTTGCGTTTTGACTTCACTCTTGAATGTTTCAATTGTCACGGTGCTTCCACTTCCTATTGGTACGTATATATAATTTTAAATTGTATTTAATTATTTTCTTTATTTTACATTTATATCTGTTTTCTCAAAAAATAAATAATAGCATTTTGTTGTAGAATTTGTCTATTTTGAAAATAGATACTATGAATCGACCGAACTCGTATAACAGCATCGATGCTGAAGAAGAAATTGTTATCTCCGGCATTGCTGGCCGATTTCCTAATAGCGACAATTTAAAAGAGTTTCAAGAAAATCTTTTTAACAAAGTGGATCTTGGTTCGAGCGATCATAGACGCTGGAATAATTGTAATAAATTTTTCTATTACTATTAAGTTATATATATTTTTAAAAATTAAAAAAATTTGTATTTTATAATAATTATAATTAAAGATTTGCAATATCTAATCCAAAAATTTTTAAAAACAATGTCAGAATCGAATAAACTGTGTGTTACACTATATATATATATATTGGGAACTTTTTAGAAAATGTGTTTGTATGCTAAGAACTATTCGAGAAATATTTTACATAAACCGGAACTGCGACATTTCGTACAGCATATCACTCTATTCTCTCTAAGTACGCGGCGCTTGGACGGTATTAATTTATAAAAAAGTTATACAACATTGCTAGTGTCGGAAACTCTTTAGAAAATGCTTCAGTATGTTCAGAACTATTCAAAAAATGTTTTATATAAACCGGAACTCCGAGATTTCGTCGGCATCTCACTTTATGCTACGGAAAACTATAGCAGATAATTTTTTCAATGGACTTTTTTTTGGCAAAATGACCAGAATTATCGTTAAAAAGTATTAGGAACTATAAAACTCGAATGTATGCGAGAAGAACTCTTTTATTTTTGATCTGCTACGGGAAGTTAGCAGATCATTTTTTCGATCGACTGTTTTTTTAAGTAAAATCACCAGAACTATTACTAAAAAGTATCAGGAACTATAGAACTCGATTGCATGCGACAAGAACTCCCTTTTATTTTTCATCTGCTGAAAAATGATATGCCAATTTCATCAACATCATTAATCCAAACACTTTTATGACCTCTTTTTTCTTGTTACTTATTAATATATTTATTTCTTATATAGCTTATTATAATAAGCATGCTATAGCATGCTATAGCATGCCTCATCGAATCGGTCAAGTCAACAATATCGAGAAATTTGATTCAGAATTTTTTAATATACCCGCTACGGAAGCTCATATAATGGAGCCTATGACTAGAATGTTACTCGAGCATACTTACGAAGCAATTATCGATGCGGGTGTAAACCCAAAAGAATTACGAGGAACAAGAACGAGTGTTCTTACAGCACTTTCTGTATCTGAGACTCGATCGTATTTTTCTAGTAAACCTGAGGTGTGATATATTTAATTAATATGTACAGCATAATTAATAGAAATTTATTTAAGAAAATAATAACCATATGTAAAATTCTTATTGCAAGCACAGAAATCTGTCCCTTTTTACTATGTAAAGTATAGAAAAATTATACAATATTTTTAAACAATTTAAAAAATAAATATTTAACTTATATCTTATTATTTATACATTTTAATAATATTTCAAATACATTCAGAACCATGTACTGTGATTAGCTTGCTAGATTATCTATGATTGGATGCAACGTTTCTTTCGTGGCAAACCAAATTTCTTATTGGCTCGGCGTTACTGGACAATCGCATAACATTGATAGTGCATGTAGTTCAAGTAACGTTGCTATAGTGAAAGCTTACAAGCTGATTCGATCCGGAGAGTGCGACGCGGCCATTATCGCTTCCGCCAATCTATGCCTACATCCTCATATACAATTTCAATTTTACCATCTAGGTATGTACTTATTATATCTTATTATATTTTATATTTGTATATTGTATGTTAATCATAAGAAATTGATATATTTAGATACTTATCTATCTTATTTATTTTCATTTTTACGCAAATTTCAGATTTTTTTATTTTGGTAACCATGCATTATTGATCATACATGTATATTATGTCGTGTACTTATTACTAATATCTACGATATTTTTTTTTATTTATGGTACAATATTTAACAAGAAAATATTTGTCTAATAAGATTAATTGTTTTTGTATCTGTTTTTAAACTCTATAACAAACATAATTATTGCTCATCTTTTTTCTTAAAAATATTATGCATTTGGATTTTGAGGTATTGTTATGTACAAACTCCGGGATTTCTTTTAATTTTTCTAGAACCGGGGAAAAAATAGAAAGTAAGGGCATATGGAAAAATGGTGCAATATGGTGAACAATACAGTATATATCTCACAAGTATATGTCATAGACTAATTCTACATATGTATACCAACAACTGGAAGATTATTTTACTAAAGTTTTGCTCCACAACTTAATCGTAGAGTCCACAGATAATAAGATAAATAGTATTAAAATTAAAACCGAAATTGTTATTAGGAAAGTGCGACCAATGTTCATATTCCAGACAAAATAAATTTATTTTTTATTTTTTTAGCCTAATAATATTTCTGTGTGTATTTATACATATATTTCCAACTTATTGTTAGTAAACTGCGCGCCGATCTTTTTTTAGACTTAGCTAGAATACAGCTTCTGTTGGAATATTAATATCTCCCTCCCTCATAAATTGATATCAATTTTACTTTGATGCTAATAAGCAGTTTACTAATTGTAAGTTGAAAATATGTATATAAATACACACAGAAATATTATTAGGCCACCCAGATCTAGCTTGGACCATAAATGGCAGTTTCTTCTACATTGCTTATTTAATTCTATTGCTTTTGTATCTACTTCTAAACTCTACAACTAACATTATTTTTGTGCATTTTTGTCTTTGAAGAAATTTGATATTTAATAATCAAAACAGTATTAATTAAAAATGAAATATTAGAGGAAGCATAAATAATAAGGAAAACACATTGTCAAAATAAAATTATTTGCATTTTTGTTTTAATTAATAGTGTAAAATCGAAATAATTGATAATATTATAATTTCAATGTATGTCTTCAATACTTACTAAAATATACATGTTTATATTCGCGTCTTTCATTAAAATAAAATAAAATTTATTTTACTTATAACATTTATTTTGCCAGTGTTTATCCTGTATTTCTGCGTTTTGTAATAATATCAAAGAAATTTGTTTATTAGTATCAATTTATTTTTCTCAGGGGTTTTGTCTCCTAACGGTTACTGTAAACCCTTTGACGAGGAAGGCGCCGGATATATGCGTAGTGATACGGTCGCAGTAGTATATCTGCAAAAGGCAAAAAATGCAAGAAGAATATATGCGACCCTCGTACACGGTAAAATAAATTGCGATGGTTTTAAAGAAGAAGGTATTACCTTTCCATCGGTCGAAAAGCAAAAAATATTGTTGGACGAATTTTATAAGGAATGTGGGATCTCACCTAATGAGTTATCTTACGTGGAGGCTCATGCAACTGGTACTCTTGCCGGTGATCCCGTAGAAGTTATGTCTGTTGACCAGATTTTATGCGCTAAAAAAAACACTCCTTTATTGATGGGCTCGGTAAAATCGAATATTGGACATTCTGAAGTCGCCAGTGGCCTTTGTCAAATCGCAAAGGTACATTTGTAATAAAATGATTTAACACTGACTTTGCTTAAAATGTGATTATAGCAATTTATATTTTTTTATATTGTTACAATTATAATACATATGTATATAATACATTTATATAAAATAATTACTATAATTACTGCTAATAAAAAGATGTGATTTCTTAAAGGTATTATTAGCGATGGAAACTGGTATAATTACGCCTACTATACACTTGAAACGTCCGCGAAAAGAGTTAACTGCTATTATCGAAGGAAGAATAAAGATCGTTACTGAACCAACAGAATGGGAGGGTGGTTATGTAGGTATCAATTCTTTTGGGTTTGGAGGGACTAATAGCCACATATTATTAAAGTCAAATCCTAAACAAAAAATCGACAATGGAGCTTCGAATGATGACTTACCTAAGCTTGTAGCTGTATCTGGTCGTACGGAGGAAGCAGTTAAAACCATTTTTGATTATGTAAGCAAATATTGTAACGGCTTACTTTATTTATTTCAGCAATAGCTTTTTATGACATTTATTTTTCTATTACCATATAAATATAACAAACATAAAATAAATTTAAATATAGTATATTTACGTCTACGAAAAAGGTCTAAAAAAATAATTTCGCATATATAATAAAGTATACATTTTTTTAATTATTTTAAATCTGCATAAAAAAGAAAAGTCAATGTGTTTTGTTCAATATATTATTAGCAAAACATTTATTGCAAAATTAATTAGTATTATCTTGTCTTTTATGTAAAATTATTCCAAGAAGGATAAGATAAATATTATTGTTACTAAATGCAGGTGCGGAATCGATCAACAGATGCAGAATTTATATCCTTATTACATCATATTCATAATGATAATATAGAAGGTCACCTTTACAGAGGGTACATGATAACTGAGTCTAAAATATCTCATAATACAATTATTAAAATAGAACATACTTCATATACGAAAAGACCGATTTGTTTTATATTTTCTGGACTAGGATCTCAATGGTTTGGAATGAGTAAGTAAATATATTATTGTAAAATACTTCAATTATACAAATTTTAACAATTCTTAAGAATATACATATAGCATATAAGAATATCAATAATCTTTCACAATTATTCAGAAAACACTATAATCATAATCTTAATATATTCTTAATATGTTTTCAACCCCATAATACTGCATAGACGTTTTATTTGTTGCTCCCTATTGATTAGGGATTTAATTTATAAAATCTAACTTCTAAATTTAATTTATAAAATTTTAGAATTTAAGTAAAATTGAATTCTAACAAAATATTCTATCGGAATAATAAATATTACAATATGGCGAACAGCTAGATTCTTTTCTTGCATATTTTTCCCGACTACATTCAATACTAAATGGCGTGTGTGTACGTGTGTGCGTGTGTAAATACGCAAATAATTTGATATACATATCTGTATATTAAAATTTAAAAATTTCTTTAAAATTTTAATAGGTCGCACTCTAATGAAATTCCCAGTGTTTGCCAAGGCAATCCAGAAATGTGATATTGTCCTAAGACCTTACGGAATATTACTTACAGATATTTTAACATATGATAATAAAAATATTTTTGATAATATCATTAATTTATTATTGGTTCTCGTTGGACTACAAGTAAGAAAAAATTTTTCTTTTTAACCATATAAATGTATTTTATATGTATATATATATACATATCATATATCAAAGACAATTAAATATTTACTTATAATTCTAATCTTTATTTAAACCAAATGGTAAAGTTTTTTTTTATATGTATTACAGATTGGATTGGTCGATCTTTTAACATCTATTGGTATCGTCTCCGATTTTATAATCGGTCATACCATTGGTGAACTAATTTGTGGGTATGCCGATGGATCTTTAACGGCCGAAGAAACGATTCTGTCGGCATATTTCATCGGTTTAGCACTTCATGAGTCGAAAATAATTAACGGTTCTATGGCTGAAATTAATCTCGATTGTAAAACTTTAAAAGTCATATGTCCTTCGGATATCGATATAGCTTGTTACAATAGTTCTTCTAATTTTATTGTGAGCGGACCAACAAATTCTATAAAAGCATTCCTCACCAAACTGCAGGTATACTAATGCTTATAAACAACATAATATTATGTGCTTAGTTTTTTAAAATCGTTTTATTAAAGCAATAAAATTGTAAGCATTGTAATACTTATAATTTTATTAGACTAACCGAATGACTTTATTTATTTTCTTCAATACTTTCAGGCTGATAATATTTCTGTGAAAAGGATTCCTTGTGGTAATATACCTCTTCATAGTCGTTACATCAAACCTGCTATAGTTAAGTCCGAAGAATACTTGAACCAAATATTACCACAAGAAGAGTTTCGCAGCTCAAAATGGCTAACAACAACCGCTCACGAGTATTCCAATATACTTCTGCCTTTATGTTCAAAATATTATACACATTATCTGTTATCCCCGGTGTTATTCGTAAACGCGATGCGTTCGATTCCAAAAAATGCAGTGACGATTGAGATATCTTCTCAGAATATTCTTCAACACATTTTAAACAACTATTTATGCTCTACAGTAACAAATGTAGCGTTGTATGAACGTACCGAGAATCATAGTGGTGAGATATTTTTAGAATCAATCGGGAAACTCTATAATGCAGGATTGCAGCCACAGATTGCAAATCTTTATCCGATAGAAAAACTTCCTGTAAGCCGCGGTACCTCAATGATTTCTCCTCTCATAAGGTATGCATATTTTGCGTTTGTGTACAAATGAAAAATATCCGAATAACGGAAACTTTCATAAGCTTTACTTTAAAGCATTGAAATGAATTTATTAAAAAAATATATTTAACAAACAACATAATATTGAATTACATTTCTGGTTTTTTTTTTCGAATAATGTAGATAAGAAATTTGTTTTTTATTGCTGCACTGAACTGTGAGTGCATTAGAACTTTACTTCTTGCTTTCGCCAAATTTTAAACATTATACCTATCTATATTTTATTTTACTAGACACTACAGACGCGCGCTTCGCGCGCGCTATTTAGCTTTAACATTATGCTATTACTATTACATTATTAACTCCTTGATACACACAACTGTCAAAATATACAATGACAGCTGCAAATAAAGTAAGCGCAGCAAGAGAACCAATCGGCATCGCGGAAAAGCGACAACAATAAACTTCACATCTCCTTTTTAGAAGAGGAAATGCAGAAAGCGTATATTTTTAGTTCAGCTATACAAAAACAGACTTAATGCTTCAGGTGGAAAGTTGAAAACCCATGTGAAATTGTACAATAATAGTTCTCGTTTCGCGTTGCAATCAAATAATATGGAATAGATTCCGCAGTGCGTAAAAAGTTGAAAACCTATGTAGAATTGCGGAATTATTGGAAAATTACGTTTTACTTATAAAACTTATTTTATTAATAATTTTTTAATAAATAATACACAGAGAAAAAGAATATTCTTGATTTAAAAATGTCTTTAGTTTCAACGTGGAAATCTTGAAATGAGATTATATGTATTGCGTTAAACTTATTTGAAGAATACTTGCTTGAAGAAAACTTGCTTGAATGAAGTCATTATATAGTGCAACCGAGAAAAAATGTAAAAATAAAAAGTTGAAATTCTTATAAGAAAATCTTGCTTATACATATATGAAACTTAAAAGAATTATAAGAATTTCAACTTTTTATTTTAACATTTTTTTTTTGGTTGCACTATATAATGACTTTATTTAAGCAAGTATTCTTTAAGTAAGTTTGACGCAATATAATCTCATTTCAAGATTTCCACGTTGAAACGAATAAAGATATTTTCAAATCAAGAACATTCTTTTTTTCTGTGTAAGTGTTGACTTTATTCGGCGATTTTACTCTCTAAATCTTATAAAGTGGTTTTGCCTCTAATATGTTAGAGTTATTGCGATAGTCACTCCAAAAGAGAGGGTTGTCACTTTAATTTGAGTAAATGCGGGCACTCATAAGATGAATTTTTCACTCAAATTTCTAGAGCGACTATTCTACCAGAGTAATACAATCTCTCTCTCTCTCTCTCTCTCTCTTTAAAACTATAGTGAATCACATTTCACTAAAGATTGACTGATAAATGTTTCTAACAGAGTGAAATTTCCCACTCAAAATTGTAGACATAATTCACTCCTATATATGGATAATGATCTACTGCACTCGAAAAGAGTGCCTTTTTCACTAAAATAGAGTGCGATTTCACTCCAACTTACTTTCTTAGAGTGGCGAATTACTCGTAGTGCACAGGCTCAATGTTCACTTTTCGTTACACTTATACTTCTATTTCACTCGTTTGAGTGATATTTCACTTT